GGTGGTTAGAACTTGTGTTACGTATGCCTAACCACCGACTGCCTCTACGAGCCATGTTTTGTGGTTTAGGTTTAGGCTGGAAGAAAGTTAGGGGCGGCCAGATCAAAACATGGCAGAAATCCTTGAAGTCACTGATAAATGGACTGAGTCATGTTGGTAGATGTAGGCTACTACCTAGTTGGGGTCCGCGAGACAAAAGTCACCAATGGTTAGAGACCATGAATGACATGGCTCAAAATCGTTTGCAACGGCGCATGTGCATCTGTAGTGACCTCACATATATTTGAATTCGCTTACATTTTATTAGGTCAAGCCTTTCGGTTAATTTATTTAACCAGGCCATTTGTATAATAATAACTTATATGTACCATCAGCCTTTATTATTGTGTGGTTTGTATGAATTGGTATGACTGAACATTGTGTACACCTGCGCACATATTCATCCTATTCACTTTAATACTAATCTCTCAGATATCACAATGACTCAGATATCTTCCTTTGTATATATACGAACATTTTTATATCTTATCAATACATTCGCACATTCACTCGTTGGTGTGTCTGCTCGGTCTGCTTGTGATCTGCTATCCTTTTTGTGGTGTGCCGCAATAAACGTATTCAATACTACGAGTTTACCTTCTGATTTATAACCGGCAGACACCATCTAGAAACGATTGTCTGAACGAGCTAATTACGAAACTAAAGAACACCTCGAAATCGGCACACTACACATCCACTCTTTGTATTCTCTCAATTCCTAATCTTCTGGATTGGTCAACACCTCTACCTTTGTCTTTCTAATCTTATCTCACTGAAGTATACCCTAATCTCTCCGATTACCACTAATACCTCTACTATATCTACCACTATGTGATTTGAACTGACTATTGCGTCTCTGTGCTAATGTGGTATGGCAACCTGAACTGATGTACATACGTACGAATTTCTGTGTTGTAGCTGTCTGTCATTACTTTGTCTTTACGTGAAGCATTAACACCTGCCCCCCATATTTAGACGGTCGGTAATATTCTGCCAGGGCAACAATTGACTGACAACTACTCTTTAAGGAAAGTAAAAACCAGAACCACAACTCGATAACTAAAGATATTCAGCTTTGTAACTAGCATGTCACAGGTTCGTACATTCCTACTGTGATATGCTTGAATGTTAACCAAGTTAACCTTACTTGGTAAACGGAGCGAAGAGCAATGACTCAGTGACACTATAGGTTATCCTAATCAGATTGTCCCAGGCCCGTCTAACAGAAGCAAGAAGTCTTGAAAAGGAGTAGAGCTTGTATTTTACAAGCCCCAGGAAGGTAGAGATTGCTAAGCACACAAATCAAGCTTATTTATACAATCATAGAAACGCCTTTGAAAGAGCTACAAAATAGCGTACTAAAAAAAATCCGTCAACCGATGACAGTTAAAGATTTCCGATTGCGAAATGTAAGCTGTAGGTCATCAGCTAAGCGTCTCTTAGCACGAATTTACCTAGTCGGAATAACGAGAGCGAGGCTCAAGGATCCGGCGACACGATAGGGGCTACGCTTATACGAATGTCCTAACCCCCATTGAGTGAAAAAATAAGACGTGATATGAAGTAGAACTTTTATTCTACAAGCATCCAGAAAGTACGATGTCCGAGTCCAGAAGGGAATCATTATCCTGGAGTAGGGAGCCGGGTCATAAAACGTTGCAGATAATGCGTATTCATACATTTAGTTCGAATAGGAAACAGTATCGAAGTCTATGACATTGAGAGTTAGAACGATCAATAAGAAACAACTTTGGAGTACGTGACATTGATATCTAGGTGGACCATAAAATTGACCAGTAGGAATTGACCAATAATTCTATTAGGATATTGGATGAATATCCTAACAGATAGATACATACGTACAAAGTTCTACGTTTTAGCTTACTAACTAACTAACTGACTGACCATTATTTCAATCATGTTATCTGTTACATATTCGTGCTTTTTCTCTCCTCTTTTGTTTCTTCCTATCCATCATCCTCGTCGCCGTCATATTCAAGTCATTACACTATGCTAAAATTAAACAATGGTTATCATGGAGTCTACGTTTAATGCCAACTAATCATCATTCGAATAAAATTGATGCAAAGAAAAATTGGTTGTATAGAAATTCGGTGGAACATTATTTAACTGCACAGAATTCTTCATATTTTATTACTGGTACACCAAATCCAACTATAGCTGATATATGTATTGCATATACATTGAAACAATTTACTGACTACTCTCAATGGATTAGTAGTAGTAGTAGTAGTACAAACAATAAACATCATATTATTGCATGGTTTGATAACTTGACAAGTTATTTTGATAAATCAGATAAAGTAAGTTTACAATTTGAATTTATCAATAACTAATTGGCCCAGTGTTTTCTTTCCAGATTGTAATTAACTAAATTTATACAATTTTTGTGGGAGATTGTCAAGTTTCACTGAAACCCTGGAACCACTAGATGGCCATTTCGTTCTAGTATGAGACTTATCTGTGGTAGTGCGCATCTACAACTTCGCGGAGCGGGAATTAGACGCAGGACCTTCGGTATGGTGCGCGAACTCTCAGACTTCAACACCGCTGGCTCAGTGGTCAAACGGTTAAGTGTTCGTGTACGACTCCTCCTTGCAGGGAGCATTGTGAATGAGTACGACTAGTGAGAGCTGAGACTAAGGCGAAATGGTCATCCAGTGCTTCCAGATTTACAATGGCGGTTTAACATTCATAGATCAAATAATCACTGTATTCACAATTGTATAAATATACCCCTGTTGGTAGGAATAATGTTTTTCAGGCATAGTTTTGGAGGTTTGTGTTTTTACACATTTGAAATCATCAATCATGGTTAGACCACCATTAGAATCCTAGAAGCACTAAGAGACGGCCGTTTCGTTCTGGTATGGGACTCATCAGCAGTGCGCATCCACGTTAGTTTTAAGGGAACCAGACTTTGAAAGCACAACTCGAACTGAACAGCTCAATCCTACGGCACAACCGCACAGGGTAACCAGCACTCTAGTCGGGTCATCCAGATCTGTAATCGCATCAATCAATGTGCACAGAATGAACAGGTCAACGTTGACCCATTCTGCTTACATGATTGTCAAACTCATTATTATAAACAGTGGAGATATATATGTTGTAATGACCAATATATCACTTTAAGCAGGAAAGTTGTTTGTATTATCGAAAATAGTAAAATAATTCCGTGAGTTGCGATTGGATAGAAGAATATTCGTAATACCATAATGATAACGATAATTGAATAATTAGAGAAACGGATTCATGCAACGAGTTGATACGTAATCGAAATGATAGTAAGATACTATGATTTTTGTATGTGCATATAACCGCTGAAGTGGCTTTGTTGCTTTTGTCAGATAGAGAGTGTGTGCGTTGTCTACATTGTACATCCAGTCTAGTTTCATTGATCCGTTCACCGAATTCATGAAGTTCCTGAGATGATTTGTCGATGTACAGCGTCGGAGTCAATGATATTATGACTGCGTTAATTTGGCGTCTGGATTACCAATTGGTGGGTTTGCCGTCGAGCTCACCAATTATTGGTGTGCAAGGTATCACTAGTTTCTTGACGGTTGGCATCCAACGTGTTCTTAGGCTTCGTAATTAACTCGTCCAGACAATCGTTACTAAACAGCGTCTGGCGGTTTATAAATCAGGTTAACTCGAAGTGTTGAATACGTTTATTTTGGCACACCCCAATTAGATCAGCAGACTACTATGATTATTAGACCAGCAGGATCCCTAAAAAACTAAAACATTTTCTCTACGGTGCATATTAATCTTCATTGATTTCTAATAGATTACCGTAGAGACCAACTTACAGATCCTGTATATATTTCAGTGGTTATTTAATCTTAAGTAACATGGAACCTAGAACTTAGATGCATCAGATCAAAATAACCACCATTGGTAAAACGGGAACGCAGAGTAATCGTAATCACTATCAGTCAATGGCAATAGAAAACGTTAGCTATACACTCAGTGATATAATATTATGGCAATCCGCTTACGATGCACGTATGCCAAGTATTGGAAACTCAACTAACTAATATATATATCAGTTAAACTACACACTATAGAACAAGCCAAATAGATAGCACAATGGCGTTTAAAGCGAACGGTACTGGGTCTGAGTCCTGGAATGTAGTCGCATCTAGCTGAAGAGTGTCGAATAAGACGAGATGCGCGTTTTCATTTTCATTGCTACCTGCCATCCATTTCTGTTCATAGACTTTAAGATTGACAAAAATCAGTGCATAAACTCCATCATGGCCTATTCTAAGTGATGTGTCTTCAATCACGCGGACTCCAACCAGATAGCTTACCTCTACTAACTGCGCTCAGAATGAATGGCTTACGGCATTGCTTTGGTCTAGCCATACCTAGCTTTCAGTTTACTCCACCACTAGCCAGCATCACGCTTTATGGTGATAAACGTTAGTTGGACATGCATGATATGTGCACCAACTACCTCAGTGAATAAGGATTTATTATATTATTGACCGATCTGCCATCTTTAACTAATATCTCCTGCGTCTAAACACCCAATGCTTCTAACTGGATGATCCTAATATACGCGAGTGCGTTACATATTATGACTTGGTTATCCCAAAGAATTTTACTCATCCTTCTTCTGTTAAAATCACACGTCAAAATAAATGATTCTACCAAATGATCTATAATTCCCATTTCGTTCCGTATATCATAGTATTTCCAGGTCTCTAAATCAATGACAACTATTCGTACCTATGACTTTTGAGGGAAAATATCAGCTTAATATGTAGGCGTCTATTACCGAAATGACATACACACCTTCATCGGACTATTAATATTGATGTTTTCTACCGACAAACTAAACAAGACCAGTCCCTGGTAAAATCATTTATACGTAGCGTATAAGCTGGCACACTAGTCCTCGCGTTCGAGTTGCCATACCTCATCAACCATAGCAAAACGAAAATGTTATGGCAAAATCCTACAGTGATAGTCAGTCACTCAGTCTGACGCAACGTAGGACTTCGTATGTAAGTACATCAGTTCAT